TTTCGCAATCGACGGCCTACATAAGAAATATCATTTGCTTTATTTCACAATAAGTCAAGCTAGCAAGGCCGATTTCGCAAAACCTCATTTCGAAACCCAATTCCAACTGCAGCCTGAGCTAAACACTCTCAGCAAAAACACACTGACCCACTAAGCAATTGTCAACGAAGCACCAAGCTTCGACCCACTTACCACGCCCCACAATTATTGTCACCAATAATTAAAGTTAGCAATAAGTAATTATATCCGGGTCTCAGGTGCGATCGCCAGCTGCATAAAAGGGCCAAGATCGGCCGAAAGAGCAGGCAGTGCATCAGCCCGAACACAAGACACTGCACTAGGCAGTCCATCAGCCCGAACACAAGACACTGCACTACGCAGTCCCTCAGTCACACACCCAAAACACTGCACTACGCAGTCCACCAGCGCACCATACAACTACAAGCCAGAGTAGCAACGTAAAAGAATTAAAGTGAATGAATAAAGAGTGAATAAACAAAGAACAATAACAAAAACCCTCGTATCATCATTTCTCGCTTGCCTACTGCATTTTTCAAGCCAGCCCGACACCTGAAGTCACCCACAATCTACAAATTTTCTTGTAGCGGACCCTGGACGGACTGATGCATACCTCAGCCTGAAATAGGACCTCACAGTGCTGAGAACGCGTATTTATTACGGGGGTGGATTGAACTTGGAGTATGTGCATGTGTATATGCATTATGTAGATCAGCCGTTCTTTTGAACTGGAATTTGTGTTGTCTTTCTTTTGGCAGCTGGATTTCGGTGAATTGTTTTTATACCCGTACTCAAAAAAGAGTTAAGGGGTATATTAGATTTGTGGTAAAAGTGGATGTGTGTAACACAGAGAAGGAAACGTTTCCGACCCCGTAAAGTATATATATTCTTGATCAGCATCAATAGCCGAGTCGATAGAGCCATGTCTGTCTGTCCGTCTTGTTTGACGCCTGGATCTCAGCGACTATAAGAGCAAGGGCAACCAAATTTGGTTTCCAGACTCATGTGATATCCCACTGCTACAAGTGTATTTCAAAATTTCGCCCCGCCCCCTTCCGCCTACACAAAGAACGAAAATCTGTGGCAGGCACAATTTTAAAGATACTATAAAACTAAACGCAGTATCGTAGAGAATGCCCATATCTACCAGAAAAGCAAAAAAATTTAAAATGAAAAATTTTATTTTTTTAATTCTAAAATTCTAAAAAATCATATGCTCAAAAAATACTGACTGAATACGGGTATAAGTAGAGTCGCGTCTTTAGAAGCGACTCGCACGTTCCTTCTCGTTTTTATGTATATATATAGTTGCTAGTATGGCTCCATCGATATAGATATAGATCGATCTATTGCAGCCAACTATGGAAATAATATGTGTATATAGATGTCGGAATAAAAACACTTAAAAATTGTTGGGGTGGGTTTTTATTCTGTTAGCACTTGGATGTATCGATATCAATCGTGGCAGATGGTCGTGTTCTACTTCGCTCCTCCAACAAAGTTTTATTTTCGAAGCTTAATTGAATATACTTGTGTTTTATTAGTGTACCCTGTGTTGTAAACTGACCATGCAATCTGTCCACTACCTGTGCTCGTTTAGTTAGCGTATTTTTGTGTGTTTAAAATCATATTTAAAGTCAATCGCTCTTTTTCTTTTGTTCCGTGCATCCGTATTCTCAGTTTTTTTGTTGTTAACGTTTGCTGGATGCACTCTCTCTGAGCCGCTCTTTACTCCGTTCTATCTCCGTTCATACCGTTTCTTCATACATTCTTGCACTGACGCTCTCTGTTCGTTCGTCGCCTCTATAAGATATTAATATTTCAAATACAAATTTCATCATTTTTTGGGGTATTTTTTTTTTTTAAATGTTGACTTTAAAAACTCAAGAAAAGTCGAAAACAAAATAATTGTTGACCAACATTTTTAGGTTTAGATAGACGCATTAATTAGGCTTCGTTTAAGGTATTGCTCATTAAAATCTATGGATAAACGGTCAACTTGCAGCCGTTTGACCAAAACGACTCAAAAATACTTTTACTTGAAATTAGTGCTTTTATTTTTCACATTGTTTAGAGTGAGGACGGCGCTGGCGGGGCAACAGCTCCTCTGCGTTACACACATCCACTTTTACCACAAATCTAATATACCCCTTAACTCCTTTTTTAATTACGGGTATAATTAACGTGTTTTATTTCCATACATATACTGTAGTATAAGCAGTCACTCATAAGAACTACCAAATATATCAACAAAACATTTGTATAAACATGAACGGCAAGCATAGACCGATCGTGCCAAAGTTAGCGCTGCCGCTATGTGTGCACATGCATACGTACATACGTATGCATATCTGTGCTTATCAGAAGCCGAAGAAGATGACGCGACGACGCTGATAGCAGATCGGCTCTGCTGCTCATATCATGTCAAACCTGAAGCACTGACCATTCCAATTAGCATAAAAAGGCCATGCCCTTCATGAACGAGAACCGAAGCTGCCTAGCCTTTCGGGCAGCCCTAGCCTTAGCTACTAAGCTAAATATACTAATAAAAAATATTTCGAAGTTGACTGGCCACACGGGCAACTCCGACGAAAACAACAAAATCATATATATACATAAGTGAAAAAAATTGTATGACTAAATAATAACGAGAAGGAACGTGTGAGTCGTGTTAGTGTTCATATTCACCTAGCAAAGAGGCAGAGGGTTACTAATCCGGCTCAAAGGACCATGTTAGTGTTCATATTCACCTAGCAAAGAGGCAGAGGGTTACTAATCCGGCTCAAATGACCGAATTCTATAATTTCCGTCAACCAAACCTTGCACCACGTATGCACAGGCTTTATGTTTATTTCTGGTCGTCGTTGGGTTATTTCTTATAAAACCGACAACTTCTTTTTATTCAATTTTATATTTTACAGCTTCGTCAATCTTTATACACCACAATTTTCAGTCGACATCTAGATAATGACTGCCAACTCATCTTAAATCAAAAATATACATAATTTGTTGACTTCGGTCACACTTACAAAATATCCGATATTCGTTGTACGGTACAAGAAGGGTTAAATTCAAAATTATATATTTCTTTTCGCAACATTCTCCTCCCAAGTATTGCAGCAACTAATTATTCAATTATGAATAGCAGCAATACTTAACAATGTCGGGTTACACATTCGTCTTAACATCTAACTTGATTAACTTTACTATAGGTCGTTTATAAATTTTATCTTTTATCTTAACATCTACAATACGAACGCATCCATCCGTTGCTTGATATGTCTTTACAATAATGCCCTTAGGCCAAATATTTCTAGGTAAATCAGAATCTGTTATCAAAACAACGTCACCTTCTTTTAACATACTTTGTTCTTTTGTCCATTTACGACTGTATAAAAGATATTGTCTATATTCTTTTCTCCATTTTAACCAAAACATATCGGTCAGTCTTGAGACGCCTTCCACATATTTAACACCTTCAAATCTCCATCAGTGGCTGTTGAATAAAATGAATCCCTAAAATCGGGTCCAATTAAAATGTCATTTGGAGTCAATGGTACCGAGTCCATGGAGTCGGATGGTACATACAACAGTGGTCGGCTATTAATCATATGCTCAATTTCACAAAACAATGTTTTCAATGTGTATTCTTTAGGAAATCTTTCTTTCAGTAGAAAGCATAAATATTTTTTTACAGCTTGTATAAGTCTTTCCCAGGCTCCTCCCATATGCGGACTCAAGGGTGGATTAAAAAACCATGAACAATTTTTGGTGGTCAGAAACTGCAACAATTCATCTTTGGGCCAGTCAGTTATAACTTCTTGAATTTCTTTGCTTGCTCTTTTAAAATTTGTTCCATTATCCGAATACATTTCAATTGGAAAACCACGTCGACAACCAAACTGACGAAATAAATGCATAAATGCGTTGCATGAAAGGTCTTCGGCTACCTCAAGATGTACTGCGCGAGAGGCCATACATGTAAATATTACACCATATCGCTTGACATGACTCCTGTTTACTGTTATTTCTATCGGACCAAAATAATCTACGCCCACTTTTAAAAATGCTCTCTCCGTTGGTTCTATCCTACATTTTGGAAGTTGCCCTATTATAGCTTTGTGTGGCTGTCCTCTTTTGTTTTTGCAATACTGGCAATTACGTATAATTTTTTTTAGTGTATTTCGACACTTTGTGATCCAAAATTTATGTCTAAGATTTGATAGAACTGTCTCTCCCCCAATATGACAATTTTTTTGATGATAATGGTATACTAAAAGATTTGTGATCGTGTGATCTTTGCTTAGAACAATGGGATTTTTCGAGTTGAAGTCATAGTCGCTGTCATTAAGATTGTCCAGTCTACCTTTGAGTCTAATTAAGCCGTCATCTGACATTTTTAAGAGTAGTGATTTTAAACTACTTGAATTATCAACAGATTCACCTTTGGTCAATTTTTCAACTTCAAGTTGATAACTATCAAGTTGCATTTTTTTAAATATTAAAATTTCTGCCCTATCTATTTCCTTGGCTGTCAGTTCATTACAATTTTGTCTCTTGAGCTTTAAATGGTCTACATAACGTAGTGTCCAAGCTGTGGTTCTTAAGAACCGCAACCAGTTCGAGAATCGAAGAACGTCTGTTAAGTCAATATCATTTCTCAGAAGCGAAGTGACATTAACATACTCTTTGTCAATTGGATCGATATCCTGTGACCCAACTGAAATCTTTCCTACTGGCCAGTGATCACTATTATTATGCAAAAACTGTGGACCTGTCAACCACAAATTGTTGTTTGTAAAATCTATTTTAGTGATTTTGGTTGCCTCATCGGCTGGGTTTAATTTCGATGGAACATACTTCCAATCTCCTACATTTGATATCTCCTGTATTTCTCCTAAGCGTTGAGAAACAAAGGTTTTGAAGCGTTTGCTGCTCGACTTGAGCCAATACAAAACAATTTCCGAGTCTGTCCATAAATGCGTTCTGCCTATTTTTAAATTCAAAGTTTCTTTAATCATTTTACTCATTCTTGCTCCCAATAAAGCTCCTTGTAATTCCAACCGCGGAATTGACATTGGTTTGAGTGGTGCTACACGTGATTTTGCAGCTATTAAACTACATTCAATTTTGTCGTCAATTTGGAATCGTACGTATGCGCATGATGCATAAGCATATTTGGAAGCATCGCAAAATATATGCAATTGTACTTCACAGTCATTTATTGGAAGTTTTGTCATAAGTCTTGGTACACTGAAGTTACTAATTTTATCAAACGAATTACTTAGCTCTTTCCACAAATCAAAATGTTCATCTCTGATAGGGTCGTCCCAGTTGATGCCACTATCCCAGATTGCCTGTAACAGTATTTTATTCGATATGAGCAAATTGGAAAGAAATCCGAGAGGATCAAAAATTGACATCGTAATCTTAAGGACTTCACGTTTCGTCGGTCGCCTTTCCAATTTCAAAATTTCACTAAGAGATTTTGTAAAGTTTAAGTTATAAGCAAGACTGTCTTTTTCATAATCCCACATCAGGCCTAAAACACGCTCTTCTGTTAAATTTTTAATCTTTTTGAAATCCAGTTGCACATTTCAAACCCTCCTTGCTGATGTACATATGTAACATCTTTAATCAGTTGTATGGCACTGATAATGTCATCTGCTCCTCCCAAGTAGTCGTCCATGTAATGTTTTTCTATTATGTCTTGACAGGCTTTAGGGTATTCTTTCTTAAAGTCACTTGCATTACGATTCCTAACTTGTTGTGCAATACTTGGACTGCATTTAGCTCCAAAAAATAAAACTTGTATTTCATAGACGTCTGGTATACCTTGTCGCCTATTTTCACGCCACAAAATTCTCTGGGCTGGTCGATCTATCTGCTGAACTTTTATTTGTAGAAACATTTCTTTTATGTCACCTACAAAAACAATTTTGTGTTCACGGAAATTCATGAGAACAGATGACAATTGATTGTAAAGGTCAGGTCCTGATAGCAAAAAATCATTGAGGCAATACCCATGACTCCTAGATGCAGCGTCAAACACAATTCTCAACTTATCTGGCTTATTTACATTTTGTACGCCAAAATGGGAAAGATAATAAGTCACAGGTGACTGAACATCTAGTTCAGACAAGTCCAACTTTTTTATATATCCTTTTAAAATATGTGATTTAATTGTTTCTTCATATTTATTTCCATATATAGGGTTTTTGTCAATTTTCCTTTCACAGGCCATTAGTCTAGAATACGCATTGTTGTAACTCATTGGAAGTCGTATATCTTCTTGTTTCCAAAACAAACCGCATTCGAATCCTTCTTCTACGCGCTTTAGAGATTTGTCTACAATTTCTAAGCACCTTTTGTCGTCAAGTGACAAGGGATAGTCGTTCTGAACAGTTAATTCGCTCTCGATTGACCAGTAAGATTTGACGAGGTTATGTAAAACATCCAAATCATCACATTCCTGGTCTTTTAAAACTTGGTTGCTGATATGAAAAGAATAATTGGTTTCAATTCTCTGTCTGTCTGGTGCTACTACTCCATGAATAACCCAGCCCAGCAAGGTTTTGCTCGCGACTGGTCCATTAAATGCTTCGTAATGTAGTTTGCGTGAAACTATAAGAGACCAGTTGTCCTGTCCTATCAACATTTTTGGATGTGCCTTTTCGTATGAACAGTCAATGAAGTTTTTCAAAAATTTAAAATTGTCGGTCATGTCGTCTATTTTCAGAGTTTGTAAAGGTAAGTTTAGATTCGAGACTGTTTTAATTTTTCTCATAGTGAAAGTTTTAGCACCTTGACTTTTACCCTTGATCTGTACACTGACCATTTTTGAATCTTCCTGTTCGTAGACTTCACTATTGGTCCATTGCATCTTTAATGGTCTGATTGGGCCATCCAGTCCTAAGTCATTGGCTACTTGTTCGTCTAACAAGGATATAGTCGATGCTTCGTCAAGAAGTGCATACGTGTCAATTGTCTTTTTGGGTCCGATCAAACAAATAGGTACTACTTTTAACAAAACTTTGGTCTGCCCTTCATAAATATTACAATTGCTTTCTATTTTTGAGTTCCACTGATCATTATAGTTTGGCTTATCTGGTTGATTTTCTTGACGGTTAGCTTTATCTTTGTGTAACAAATTGTTATGATTATAACTGCAATTATTTATTTTGCATTGCTTTTTGCGTCTACAATCTTTCATCAAGTGGTTTTTACCCAGACAAGATATACACAAGCTATTTTGAGACACTTGCTCCCATCGTTTGTCAATATGTAAGTCTTTAAATTTTCCACATGTCGTAACATAATGATCAGTCGATTTACAATAATTACAGAATCCTTTTCTATATTCTTTGGTTGCATTATTTGGATGATTTGTAACTGTTAAAGTACTATCTTTGGACTTATGCTGCCCCAGGCCTATCATGGTTGCAGCCCTAATGGTTTCACTTAGCCATGCTTGAAAAACTATTATTTTTGGCTTAGCTGATCTAGATTTTTGAAAGTGTTTCATAAATGCAATTCGTTGTGACATAGGTAATTTTTCCAATATTTCGTCAAGTAACAACGGGTTACGAATATGATCTAAATCTTCGATGGACAACAATGTATGAATTAGATTTGTAATTATATCATAAAATGAGATTAGTCGTTCATATTTATCGTCTTTTATATATGGAAAATTCTTAATTTTATCAATCAGTTGTCTTATAATATGACTCGAGTCGCCAAATCTCTCTTTTAAGATTTCTATTATCGTCAACACATTATCTGGTAACAACAAAAGAGATTGTACACATTCTTTGGCACGACCTGCTAATGCTTTTCTTAGACGACTTACATATGTTTTCATAGTTGCTAAATTTACATGCGTTTGTACTGTTTTCAAATTCGGAATAAAATATGGGCCATTCTAATGGATCCCCTGCAAATGTCGGTAGGTCTTGTTTTATTGTCTGCCTTGCCATGAATGTTTCCACATCCTTATTATTTCCTGACTTATTAAGACTTTCATTTTCAAATTTAAGCTTACGTGTTGTGCTAACCCACTCACTTGTACGGATCTCAGCGTATTTGCCATCATTGTCGTCGCCGTGGTCGATGTCATCTTCTTTTTCTTCTTCTTGTAGCTGCATCTCAAGCAGCTCTTGTTCCAGGTCCAGATGTTTTTGTTGAAGTGCCAGCTGTTGGCGCTGCTGCTCCTGTGTCGCAATTTGCTGGGCAAGCTGCTGCTGTTTTGTATTCAAATCCAGTTGTTTCATCAAATTTTGCACCTTAGACGATGTGCGTGAGTTTTGGCTACTTTTGGTTGTACGTGGTGATCGGCCTCCTTCGGACTGCTTGTATGCAGCCTTTTTGATTACGTTGGATTCCATCGGTGTTGATGCCGCTACCTTTGACCTTGTCCTCGGCTTGATGGTAGCATCCATTTCCACTTGCGGTGTCTTGTCGGGATGAGGAGTGTGGTTTATCTTCTTTTTTGTCCCATTATCGCTGTCTACGATATTTTGTTCGTCGATTTGAACAGATTTGTCGATTTCAGTTGTCGTCACAATTTTTATTTTTTCCGCCAGTTCTTTTCTGTACGTATTTCGGTGTTTGTTTTTATACCCGTACTCAAAAAAGAGTTAAGGGGTATATTAGATTTGTGGTAAAAGTGGATGTGTGTAACGCAGAGAAGGAAACGTTTCCGACCCCATAAAGTATATATATTCTTGATCAGCATCAATAGCCGAGTCGATATAGCCATGTCTGTCTGTCCGTCTGTCTGTCTGTCTGTCTGTCTGTCTGTCTGTCTGTCTGTCTGTCTCGATGAGCGCCTAGATCTCAGAGACTATAAGAGCTAGGCCAACCAAATTTGGTTTCCAGACTCATGTGATATCCCACTGCTACAAGTGTATTTCAGAATTTCGCCCCGCCCCCTTCCGCCCCCACAAAGAACGAAAATCTGTGGCAGCCACAATTTTAAAGATACGATAAAACTAAAAACGCAGTATCGTAGAGAATGCCCATATCTACCAGACTGCCGAATCTGAATCAGATCGGATAATAATTATAGCCAGAATGAAGAAATTAATTTTCAGTTGCTTCCTCTCCCCCTCCCGCCAACAACAACTCAACTCATTTTCCTTCTCGCTCACACACTCTGCCGCGTTCAGTGCGCGAGCAACCCCTAGCGGAGGAGATGTAGAATATGAATGGAACATGTACAATCTACATGTTAGATGTAGAATAGACATTGTATATGTAGATGTAGATAGCAGATGTAGCAAAAAAATGTAAAATGTAAAATTTTTTTTTTAATTCTAAAATTCTAAAAAATCATATGCTCAAAAATGTAAATACTGACTGAGTACGGGTATAAGTAGAGTCGCGTCTTTGGAAGCGACTCACACGTTCCTTCTCGTTATGTATGTATGTATTCCCATTTCTGTCTCTTGTCGGGAGCATCACTAAAAAAACACGCAGTAGTTGTCTCTTTCTGTTGCACGTCTGTCTACATACGGTACATATACACTAGTCGTCGTCAAAGTGTATATGCGGATGTGTATGTCTTGGATCAGGCTTGGAATACATACAGATCTGATGAAATTGCGCGTCTGTTTTACGCAATCCATATGCCGTTCCGTGGGCTTCGAAGGACCATGTTAGTGTTCATATTCACCTAGCAAAGAGGCAGAGGGTTACTAATCCGGCTCAAAGGACCATGTTAGTGTTCATATTTACCTAGCAAAGAGGCAGAGGGTTACTAATCCGGCTCAAAGGACCATGTTAGTGTTCATATTCACCTAGCAAAGAGGCAGAGGGTTACTAATCCGGCTCAAATGACCGAATTCTATAATTTCCGTCAACCAAACCTTGCACCACGTATGCACAGGCTTTATGTTTATTTCTGGCCGTCGTTGGGTTATTTCTTATAAAACCGACAACTTCTTTTTATTCAATTTTATTTTTTACAGCTTCGTCAATCTTTATACACCACAATTTTCAGTCGACATCTAGATAATGACTGCCAACTCATCTTAAATCAAAAATATACATAATGTGTTGACTTCGGTCACACTTACAAAATATCCGATATTCGTTGTACGGTACAAGAAGGGTTAAATTCAAAATTATATATTTCTTTTCGCAACAAGTCGCTTCTGGGGACGCGACTCTACTTATACCCGTACTCAGTCTGTATATACATTTTTGAGCTAATGATTTTTTAGAATTAAAAATAAAACGAGAAGGAACGTGTGAGTCGCTTCTGGGGACGCGACTCTACTTATACTCGTACTCAGTCAGTATATACATTTTTGAGCATGATTTTTTAGAATTTTACAATTAAGAAAAACATTTTACATTTTACATTTTTTTGCTACATTTGTTATCTACATCTCATCTACAATGTCTATTCTACATCTAACATGTAGATTGTACATGTACCATTTAGATTCTACATCTCCTCCGCTAGGGGTTGCTCGCGCACTGAACGCGGCAGAGTGTGCGAGCGAGAAGGAAAATGAGTTGCGTTGTCTGGAACGGGTTGGGGAGGGGAAGCAACTGAAAACAAAAGATACAAGACTGTAATAAACGTTCTGGACAAAAGCAAGATTTCGGTTAACAAGTTAAAAAAATCGAAGAAATTTACATGAGAACATGTCTTGCACATGTAACTCGACAACAAGTACCTGATCAATGCGGCTACGTAGCTGCGATCAAAATCCAGTCATCCATGCGATGATCTAATCAAAAAAAAAAAAAATTTAAAAAAAAATTTTACATTTTACATATTTTTGCTACATCTGTTATCTACATCTACAATGTATATTCCACCTCTAACATGTAGATTGTACATGTACCATTTATATTCTACATCTCCTCCGCTAAGGGTTGCTCGCGCACTGAACGCGGCAGAGTGTGCCAGCGAGAAGGAAAATGAGTTGCTTGGTCGTTGGCAGGAGGGGGCAGAGGAAGCAACTGAAAATTAATTTGTTCATTCTGGCTGTTTGAGATGCCAAGCTTTTTTGGCACCTATATTTATCCAAATCAGTTAAAGACTTTGATTTAAACGTTATAATGTTTATTTAGACCGGCGGCTAGCTGAAGCCAATTGCTCGCTCTTTTGCCCAGCCAGATAAATGTTCACAAGCGGGGGTTCAGTATGCAACCTATGCGGCGAGAGATTAGCATAGAACTACTTGGGCCACGACGGCCGATCAATGCAAGAGCCGACGCAGCAGGTGCAGAGCGCCCTTTAACAGGGAGAGCGCAGCAGCACTGCCGAACGCTGGGGACATACATAAGCTTAGGTTTCGATACTCTTATACTAGTTACAGCTACATTTAATATTGTGATAGACGCTTAAGTAGCCGCTGGCCCGAACATACTCCCCCCGTTGGAAGCTCGCCTTTCAACTGACTTCTCAAGGGGCAGCAAACACAGCCGAGTAACGGCCCTCCTGATGGTTCCTGAAGCCGTCTTCAAATCAGCCACGCGGCCTACTCCATCCTTGCCTTTGACGACGTCGACCACTCTAGCCAGTGGCCAACGCATTGGAGGAAGATTCTCATCCTTCACCAAGACGACATCGTTGACGCAGAGGTTTTTCGCAGGCGTACGCCACTTCGAGCGCTCTTGCAAAAGAGTCAGATACTCTTCGCGCCAACGCTTCCAGAATGTCTGCTGCAGTTGAGTGACCCGCTGCCAACCATCCAGACGGTTGTAGTTGAGCTTCGTTAGGTCAGGCTCGAGAATTGACTGATGCGGGCCTCCCAAAAGCAGATGAGCAGGCGGCGTCAACACATCCAAGTCATCAGGATTTTCTGAAAGCGAGAGCAAAGGGCGAGAATTAACAATTGCCGCGATCTGGCAGATCAAGGTGCGGAGCTCGTCGAAGCTAAGGATGGATGGCCCAACTGAGCGGTACAGGTGATACTTTGCGGACTTCACGGCCGCTTCCCACAATCCGCCAAAGTGCGGAGAGCGCGGGGGGATGAAATGCCAGTCGATGGTGTTAGCCAAGCAGGATTCATGGACTTCTTTCATGTGCGAGTCGCTCAGGAAAAGCTTCTTCAGCTCCAGAAGCTCATTCTTAGCGCCAACGAAATTTGTAGCATTGTCCGACCAAATATGGCTTGGCCTTCCTCGAGTGGACGTAAAACGTTTCAGTGCGCCTAGGAACGATGCGGTGGTCAGATCTTTAACAAGCTCCATGTGTATGGCCTTAGATGTGAAGCAAATAAACACGCTTATGTAGCACTTGATCGGAGGCCTCGTGCGGATTTCTGATCGGTAGAAAAAGGGTCCACAATAGTCCACTCCAGTTACTTCGAAGGCCCGCGATCCTTCCAGACGCTCCTTAGGCAAGTCCCCCATAATGTGCTCAACCATGCGCGGCCTCGTTCTGAAGCATCTTACACACTTGCTAACCGCTTTCGAGACGGCTTTGATTCCTCCAATAGGCCAATATTCTAATCGAATTTTAGCAAGCAAGGCGCGAGGTCCGGCATGGAGGTTCCGTTGATGATAATAGCTTATCATTGCAGATGTTACGGGATGTCCCTTGGGCAAAATAAGCGGGTGCTGAGCATTAAACGGGAGCGATGAGTTGCCGAGACGACCTCCAACTCGAAGTAAACCTGACGGATCGATGAACGGAGATAGCGAACTGATGGAGCTAGACTTCCTGACTTGCCCATTGCGTCTAATCTCCTTTATGTCCGACCACAAACTTGCCAGCTGAACGTGTCGAACAAGAAGATGCGTTCCTTGCTGTATGTCAGAAACCGTGAGTCCAGGATGCCTAAGACGATGAACGAATTTATGCATGTAGGCGAATGTGCGCTGCATGCCAAAGAAAGAATTAGCAAATTTGCAAATTTGGACAACGCGAGGAAAGGAAATGCGAGAGATGCTTGCCAAATTGTTTCTCAGGTCAATCCAAGTTGAGTGCAGCGCTGTCGGTAGGCTTTCATCCCAGTCCAAATGTTCTCTCCAAAGCTGCTGAAGAAAGATCTTGCACCTGACAATAACAGGATTAATCAATCCAAGAGGGTCGTAGAAACGCGCAATAGTTGACAAAACCGACCGCTTGGAGGGCCTTGAATTCGAGTCCAGCGCGGACAAGGCAAACAGCAGCTGATCCGACGCAGGGTCCCAAGCTAAACCAAGAGTTTTGGTAATGTCGCTTCCATCATGAAACCGTAGAAATTTCTCCACGTCGTCCTCTGGAATTCCATCAAGCACCTCCTGGTTACTCGAGCACCATTTTCTAAGCTTAAAGTTACCGCAAGACAGTAGACTTGAAGTTTGGCGCATCTTTTC